AGTTGGTGTCACCTAGTGCAGTAACTCCACACCATGTGCCTCTTCCAGTACCAGATATACTACAACATTACAATGAAACTACCAGAAAATTTGACAGAACCAATTAAAAACCCCATCAGCAACAAAAACAATGACATGTGCTTGTAGCATGTGCAGACAAAATCACATGATTTGTAACATCATTATAATAGATAATGACCAGATATCATATGCATTAGAAGGTTTAAAAGATAAAGGATCATTGAGCTTTAGCCTTGTATGCATATTGAGAAAATACATGTAAGCCAGGAGTATGGAAATTGTTTTTGTAGTTATAAGGATATAAGGAAACACCACATAGAAAATGATAGACAGTTATTTTGGTGTCACCCAGTGTGGTTCATACCCTTAATGACTCCACTGCAATGGTAAACCCTCCTCTGAATAGGTTGGAGGTTATTTGAATTCATACAGCAACAACAAACCTGTTACTCTCAGACATTTGGTTCATCTGAGGAAAAGGGTGCTTTGGCTTTTGTACAGAACAATATTTACCATGTGAGTTCTCAACTGCAGTCTTAAACATTATATAGCCGAGACAAAGGTTTACTAACTCCATAAAAACTAGGCTGTAGTTTGCAAAGATTACCATAACTACAGCCTTTGTAGAAAGTGCTGCTATAGGTCAAAAAAGAACTGAAATTAAATATGGTACATATAGTTAGCCAGTCTACATTTTGCTTGTGTTCATTGTGTCCCCATGTTTGGATATGGTCAAAACAAGGATGCATAAAAATACAAACTATATTTTGTCTGCTAGCTCTTAAAAAACAAAGTGGGAGAAAAGAATGGCTATGATTGATCTATTACAGTCATTGGCACAATATGGACTTTCAAATTTGCCCTATGGTCAGTATCTCTATCCCTGCATTTGTATTAAAAGCTATTGAGCTTCATTTGAATTTCAAATCCCACATCTAAATAAAGTGGCAAATGAGCTCTGAGTCTTATTTCATTTTTAAAACTAATCACAATTTCACTGTGTCACTCCATCAAGTTTTCTCTGGGTGTCTAATTCAAACACATACACAGATTAGTGTTCATGCTTAAACACCTAAGATAATATGTTTCGTGATATCAGACTTAAGATTTCCCCAAGTTCTTACATCACGTAACAATTCAGACATAGCAGATACAACAAGAAACAGGTGATATATATATATATATATATATAGAGAGAGAGAGAGAGAGAGATATATTTACTTCACTTGTATACCGCTCTTCTCAGCCAACGGCGACTCAGAGCGGTTAACAACCAGTATCAACAATACAGTACAAAATCACTAGTCATTTAAAACAGTAATATCAATTAATTAACATCAGGACATCAATACAACAATACAGGAAAACAACAATCCATCACGTCTCATCAATAGAATCAGCATCCGATCTCATTGTCCATTAATCCATATACCAGTAATCAATCAATTGCACTGCTTAGTTGAAAGCCTGTTTGAAGAGCCAGGTCTTCACTTTCTTCCTGAATGCCAATAAGGAGGGGGCCGATCTAATGTCTGTAGGAAGGGCGTTCCACAGCCGGGGGGCCAATACTGAGAAGGCCCTGTCTCTCGTCCCTGCCAGGCGTGCTTGTGAAGCCGGCAGGACCGAGAGCAGGGCCTCCCCAGACGATCTTAACATCCTAACTGGTTCATAGGAGGAGATGCATTCGGACAGATAGGTCGGGCCAGAACCATTTAGGGCTTTAAAGGCTAAAGCCAGCACTTTGAATTGTGCCCGGTAGCAAATTGGCAGCCAGTGGAGCTGGCGCAACAGAGGAGTTGTATGCTCCCTGAGTGCTGCTCCTGTTAACAACTTGGCTGCCGATCGTTGGACCAATTGAAGCTTCCGAGCAGTCTTCAGAGGCAACCCCACGTAGAGAGCATTGCAGTAGTCTATACGGGATGTAACCAGAGCGTGGACTACCGTGGCCAAGTCAGACTTCCCAAGGTACAGGCGCAGCTGGCGCACAAGTTTTAATTGTGTGAATGCTCCCCTGGTCACCGTTGAAACCTGGGGTTCCAGGCTCAGCAATGAGTCCAAGATCACACCCAGACTGCGAACCTGCGTCTTCAGGGGGAGTGTAACCCCGTCCAACACAGGCTGTAACCCTATACCCTGTTCGGCCTTATGACTGACCAGGAGTACCTCTGTCTTGCCTAGATTCAATTTCAATTTGTTCGCCCTCACCCAGACCGTTACAGGGGCCAAGCACCGGTTCAGGACCTGAACAGCCTCCTTAGAAGAAGGTGGAAAGGAGTGACAGAGTTGGACATCATCCGCGTACAAATGACATCGTACCCCGAAACTCCGGATGATCTCTCCCAGTGGCTTCATGTAGATGTTGAACAACATGGGAGACAATATTGAACCCTGAGGAACCCCACAAGACAATGGTTGTGGGGTAGAACAGGTGTCTCCCAATAACACCTTCTGAGAGCGGCCCTCTAGGAAGGACCGGAGCCACTGCAAAACAGTGCCTCCAAGGCCCATTTCCGCGAGGCGTCCCAGAAGGATACCATGGTCGACGGTATTGAAGGCCGCTGAGAGGTCCAGCAGAACCAACAGGGACACACTCCCCCTGTCTAGTTCCCGGCGAAGATCATTTACTAAGGCGACCAAGACTATTTCAGTTCCATGTCCCGGCCTAAAGCCAGACTGTGCCGAATCCAGATAATCCGTGTCGTCCAAGAATACCTGGAGTTGTGAAGCCACCACACGTTCCAGGACTTTGCCCAAGAAAGGAAGATTGGAAACAGACCGATAATTGTCGAACATATATACCAATATGTTGCGCTGTACCAGTGTGTAGTGGTAGTGGGGGGGGGAGGAGCTCTCATAATCCCCCCTCTCTCTGTCTGTCTCTGCCTCCCCCCCCTCTCTATATATAGCCCCTGACCATGCTCTTCTGGACTTAATGTCCCAGAGGGACCTCAAATGCAATGCAGGGGGACAGCCTCCCAATGGCCACTGGGAGTTAAATGAGAACCATAGAATCATAAAGTTGGAAGAGACACAAAGGCCACCCAATTCAATCCTTTGCCATGCAGTAATACACAATCAAAACACTGGGTTGCTGTGTGTTTTCTGGGCTGTATGGCCATGTTCCAGAAGCATTCTTTCTTGATGTTTCACCCACATCTATGGCAGAGTTGTGAGGGATATTGGAAACTAAGCAACAGAGGTTTATATATCTGTGGCTGGTCCAGGGTGGGAGAAAGAACTCTTGCCTGTTGGAGGCAAGTGTGAATGTTGACCATGAAAACCTTCGACAATACAAATCAAATCACTCCTGATTCAGCCTCTGCTTTAAAAAAACCTTCAGAGAAGGAGACCACCACATTCAGAAGTAGCACATTCCTCTGTTAAACAACTTCAAGTTTAATTTACTCATGTTAGGTCTTAATTTGATGTTAAGTTTAATGTTACTTTTATATGTGGGGGTTTTCTGGGATTTTATGTTAGTATTGTGTGTTTTATGTAAGCATTGAATATTTGCCACTGTTATACTGGAATCTGCCCTGAGTCCGCTTGGGGAGATAGGGAGGAATACAAATAAAGTTATCATCATCATCATCATCACACTTACCATCCCTGTGCTGCATACATACGAAACTAACAATCATTAGAAGGGCTAATATCTTTCCCATCAGCATCTTTTTTTTTTCCTAAGGAAGAGTTGAGAATGGAATCTGGACTATATTAAACATCGGCAGGGACCAGAAAACTGGTGAGCACATTTTCATTATATTCTTTCTGACATTGGAAAGTCCAACTCAAGATAGGAATGAAAGCTTCAAAAGGAGCTGGGGTAGGGCTGTACTTTGCCCACCCCTGGCCTATTTTAAATTATAAATTATACATAGAAAGTACCCAGATATCTTAAAGATAAGCACTTAGTTGCATTCATAATGTGCTAATTATTTCTCAGTCAAAAGACCTCCATATAGAATCTCACATACAGCTGGCTTTCCCAGAAGCATTGGGACCAGTTAGCATTACTTGTGAAGATGCCCCAAGAATCTGCTTTATTCTCCAGGGTCCCACTCTTGAATGTTAATGTAATACAGAAGAGAAGAGAGCCATGATCAAAACCAAAATTAATGAGCGCATAATGTGGCTCTCATTATCCAGACACTGGAAATTGAAATATGGTTTTTGTAGCATCACTCATGAGAACACATTCCGTCCCCAAAGTGAGAAAAATGGATAAAATGTAAATTCCAAAGTTAAATTCTACAGATTTAATTCCTAACTGGTTAACTCTCCATCTATTATGGCCCCAGTTGGTTTTTTAAAATAATAATCTCACCAACATGGTGACTATTCAAAGTTGCCCATAGCTATGTGGTATTTAATAGCCAAAGATTTGAAAAATTACATTTTGGATTACAACATTCTAGATCCCTCGTTCAGCACGCAGCTTCATAAAACCATGCAGTTCTTCCCATTTGCTTCTTGATGGGCCATTTCCTAAAACAGTAAACTCTCAGTTAACCGGCACTGATGGGGAATAGCAGATGTCGAATAAACGTAACTTCTGATTGCTTGAGAGTTACTGTTAAAGAAGCTAAACTAATACTATACCCCGTACTTTATTAATATCAGATCAATACAGAATACCACATATTCTGTATAGATCTGATATTAATATTAAAAGCAAATTAAGAGGAATAAAGACAAACCTTACTCAATGTAATACAGTTTTACTGTATTGCATGTGTATTTTAATTTTAATTTACATTATTATTTCAATTTTTGCTAGTTGCTTGAGTTTTGGTTAACTAAGAGTCTCCTGCAACTTCTCTGGCAGAGACAATGAATAGTGGTTTTAGATATAGTTTAATCCTTTTGGCTAGCTGTTCTCCAAATAGCTACTAAAGTTCCCTTGGGTGTAGCAAAGCTTCTACTGAAGTACAAAATAACATTCTCTGCTGTGCTGAAAGACATGGATATCCACAAGATAAAATTAAAAGAAGCTTTTATTGTAATAGATAAGACTGTGCAAACAATGATTCGATAATAAAATTGCATCCTCAAAGAGTAAAAAAATAAAAGGCTAGGCCAACATACAATACAATCCATAATAAAAGGGGTTCTGTTCCAATAGAGCCAGCTCAACCAGACACCCGTACAGAGAGTCAAAAGGAGCATTTGGGGGGGGGGGGGGGGAGAAATAGGGAAATTTGTTACTACATATACTAACTGGCAGAATAGGATTTGCCATGCAATGACCCTTTGCAGCCATGCACATTAATCCCAGGAGAAAACAAGAGATTGTGATCTTTGTTTATCTTCTTTGTTTTGCCAGTATTTGTATTAAGGGGGAAAGTGGTGCTGATTCCCTGACTCCACATGGAGACAGGATTCTTTTGCATAGGAATGGAACTATAGCCTTTCAAAGCTTTGAGCAGCATTTCGGACTGTTTACCATCCTACAGAGATCTCGCATCTCTCTCTGGATGAGAAGTATCAAAGCCAGCAGGAAAACTCTCAAATTTTAAAGTGGCAAAGGGCACTGTTTTTAAAAGCAGAAATGCTGTCAGTTTTTCTGTTTTTCAGTCTTTGAGTCAATCTTCTTGGCCGTGGACATAAGAACCCTTCACATTGCAAAACAATTCTTATCAAATCACTTTCCCTTCATTTTTGTACACACTACAGATTCCAGTTTGGTACAGTTAAATCATGTGGCACGCTTCATGCCTGAGAAATGTTCAATTTGTTGTGGACACAGGTTAAGAAAAGGTTGCTATGAATGGCATCCTCTTGCCTCTTGGCAAGGTAACCTCACAGCACTCTAACCCAGTCATTTCTCATCTAAGCGACAGTAGATGTACATTGCCACGGCCATTGCTGCAAGCTGGAGAGGAAGGAAAATGGGAAAACAAAATGAGTATACACAACTAAGACAACACTGTGTTCTGAGTTTTGGACTAGATCTCAGGGAGACAAGGGTTCAAATCTCTGCTCAGCAGCCATGTAATCTCACTGAATTAACCTGGGTAGTTTTGTATAATCCTTATCAAATTTGTAGAGAATACAAAACAGGGAGGGGTAGGTAACACATTGAAAGACAGGAAAAGAATTCAAAAGAATATTGTTAAACTAGAAAAAGGGACTGAAATGAAAGAAGAAAATACAACAGAGAAAATGCAAAATTATGCATTTAGGACAAAAAACTCACAAGAAGTAGTATAGGATGGGGGTGTGGGGTACTAGGGCTACCTTTGCCATTAAGTACTTTATGCACAGTGCCTATGGCCTACAACAATTTTACTAAAACAATTAACTAAAGAATTATAGAAAATGAGAAAAGAAACAAAAAAATGAAAACAAAGAGATTTTTGAGTTCCAATTTACAATGGGTGTACATGTTTTAAGGTCCACAGAGGTCAATGGGACTTTAAAAAAATAATCTGTCTGTCCCTGGAGGTACATTAGGACAAGATAGGGAGTCAAATACAAGAGCTCCTTGGGGCCTATGAAAAGATGAATGCCACCCCGGGAACACTTGACTCAACAGTATGACATGTGAAAAGGACCTTGGGATTATCATATATTCTTCATCCTCTAGCACAAGAGTGGGATCATTCAAGGGCCACACAGATTGTGAAAGAAGGAAAGAGGGGAAAGGGAAAAGGGGGAAAGGGAAGGGAAAACAGAAGAGACTGGAAGTCAACTAGTGGTCTGAAAAAAAATGGGTTAGACTTCAACTTATTTGAAAGGCAAACAGCCATTCAAGGTGGCTTTTTTCTTGGCTAATAAGGGGATCTGGAGGAGTCAAGCACTGGAAAAACATATTGGGAGTGCATGTGTTCCCTTGAAGAAAGCTACCATATTAATTTTGCCCAAGACTGCAAGAAGAACCTGGTATCTAGTAGGAAGTAAATAGATTAGCTCCTGCTTCATGTTCTCATAAGCTTAGAATAAAAGGGCTCATTCACACAAAGGTGACATTATGGTTCGAGTGGGACTAAGAAAGATGAAATCAAGACTCAAGACCCCACTAAGTCATAAAAAGTGGCATATCAATGTAAGTCTAAGGTTCAATATTCTGAAAGAATGCTACCAAGAAAAAATGCCAGGAATATTGCATTGGTATCTTTTAGTGTTGATGAAGTTATAAGATGCAGAACTGGTTACTTGTCTGGCATGTGAAAATATCCTGGTGCATTCCATCCTTGGTCATAGATGTTTGCACATGAATATTTTGATGGTCATTAGGGCACAGCAACAAAAATGGATCAGTTCTAAAGATACAACATACCTCCAGTGCACAGATCCCAGCTGCTACTCCACCCACAACACCAGCATTCTGACGTATTTCAGATATCAACTTGGAGAAACAGCCCTAAAGTGGGTTTAAAAAAAAAGAAAAAAAGAAAAAGTTATTTCTACAAGAAATGGGCAATCCTTGTGTGTGTGTGTGTGTGTGTGTGTATAACACATATTGACAGATCTCAGGTGAGAAGTATGGGAGAAAAAAGGAATGTATTATCTGCATAGAGAACTGTAGAGATCTCCATGTATTAGTGAGGTTATTGTGCACAATTGCTGAAATATAGAGAGCCCCATCATCCCAAACATGGTCAAAATGATGCCCTGACCTGGAACATGAGGGGCACTCAATTTGTTCTGTGTGGTCAGAGTTTAGAAAAGCTTCTTCAAATATATTAAAACCCCTAAAACTCTCAAGGATATTGGCAGGTGCAGTCCGAAATTAATGGACAGATTACAGGAAGTAAACACATTTTTAACAGTCACAATAAAAAAAAGTTTTGTAGTAATAAATGGGAAGGCGAATAAGGCCAAATCTTTAACTGGAGGAAAACTGATCACCATGGATCTAAACAAGCCTTTAATAAAAATAAAGGTCAGATATGTTTCAATAACACTCCAGAAGCTGTAGACAGAAAAGGTTAGAAACATGTTTATTATCTTTCTGTGAGGAACTCTGCATGGGTGTGTTTGGCTTGGACTGGTGGCAAGAATTAGAAAGTTTTTAAAACCTTTCACACTGAGTACAAAAACATTGAAACAAATCTGACCTTTGTTTTATTGAAGCTTTTTTTAGATTTATGGCCATTCATCTTCCCCCAGTTAAATATTGATATCTGACAGACCTTCATTTCTATTGTTATAAAACTGTTTGGGCTATTTAATGAACAGATGATTCTTTTGTGGATATAGTATGATCACCTGCATGAAATTTCCGGATTTCACATGGATACATAAAACCATAGATAATAGCTAACCCTCCTGAAATGAAGTACTTCTAGCCCAAGAACATCATAGAAAATGCCAAAACTTGAGTAAGTGTGGGCTTGTTAGCTGCCTTGAGTCTCCACGAGAAGAAAAGCAGGGTATAAATAAAGATGATTATGATGATGACAATGATGATGATGATGATTATTTGTCAGAAGCATATACATGAAACCACAGGCAAAGGCCTTGTGGATCTGGGGGTCAAAATATATTCGATCTCATATATGTGACTGTTATTTTATTAGTTCTGTGAGTCGGGTCCTCTATTCATTTGTTCTTTTAGCTGTGCAGAATACAGCTCATGAAGATCCCATAGTGTAAAGTAGAAGCAGTGCATTAGTAGTTTAATTTATTATCAAAGGCTTTCATGGCTGGAATTACTAGGTTGTTGTGAGTTTTCTGGGCCATGTTCCCTAAGTATTTTCTCCTGACATTTCACTTGCATCTATGGCAGGCATCAACCTCTGAAGACGCCTGCCATAGATGCAGGCAAAACGTTAGGAGAGAATGCTTCAGGATCAAACCCATACAGTTCAGAAAACTCACAACCACCCATTAGTAGTTTATTTTGAATATCTATATCCATCCTTTAACAAATTTCTCAGGGTGGATCTTAACTAGCAAGATCAAAATACATTTTGGGGCATTTTTATCACAGCACATAAGGGACACTGGTTCACTGTAAAATCCTTCTGCATTTAGGAGACTCAGTTTAGGAAGTTGCACCTGACTTCCTTCCCACCCAGAAGAAGGGAGTCCCTAGAAGTTGTTTTAGACCAGCAGGAAAAGTACAACTTCAACAGAAGCACTATTAACTCCTCTGAAGACAGATCCCTTTGTAAAACACAGGCTGGATACAAGAGTTAGCAAGGCAATACAACTGATAACTCTTTATTTCCCAACCCTTTCCAGTGCCACCCAATAAATAATAAGAGACTTTGTTTTCTTACCGGCACCTTGCTTTTCACAGCTTCAGCTTCAGTACAATTGTTGGTGTTGTTACAGCAGTATAAGGGGTAAATATTGCCATGATGGGACATGTAGTAGGAACCATCAAAGTCTGTGTAATTTGATAGACCACAGCACTTCAGCTGGAGAGGAAAATGAGAAAATGGTCAAGAAGATGTCCATACATCATGTAGCATTTCCACCCTACTTTGCAAAAGGAGAATTACTATAGCATTCCAATATCCTACCAGGAAAGCTAGGAAAGAACAGATACTCCATGGGCTACAATACAATTCCTTCTATAACTCAGCAAATGAGGGCCTGCTATGTATGGGAAAAGTCCCTGAAACTCTGGAGAGCTATTGCTATCAGTGCTGAAAATATTGAGCTACATGGACAAATGGGCTGGCTTAATTTAAGGCTGCATAAAGGTTGACTTAGTGTAAGGCATCTAACTATAACAATTACATTCGAACTTAGTATCGAAATAAAAAGTAAGGTTGCTTACCTGTAACCATGTTTCTTCTAGTGGTTAACTGTGAAATTCACACCTGTGGTATTTCCCTGCGTCCACGCAGCTGACTCGGATCTTTCTTGAAAGCTTTTCCTAATTAGGGACTCCAGCCCCGCCCATCTACTCCTAATAAAGCCAGGCAGCGGGGCTTGGAGCCTTAGTTCCGTACCGCGAAAGACAGTCGGAGATAAAAGGCATGACAGAATGTGGGGAGGATGGGCGGGTTGTGTGAATTTCACAGTTAACCACTAGAAGAAACATGGTTACAGGTAAGCAACCTTACTTTCTTCTGCGTGGTACTGTGAAATCCACACCTGTGGTAGACTAGCGAGCAGTCCCACGGATGGTGGGTGTCATGCTAGTGCAGAAAAAAGTACTGCTCTCCCAAAAGCCGTCTCCTTCTTGGCAGCTAAATCCAATTTATAATGGGAGACAAAAGTATGTGGTGTTGACCATATGGCCACCCAACAGATATCATCCAGAGGCACACCGTGCAAAAAAGCCATGGAGGCTGCCAATGCTCTAGTGGAATGAGCATGGATCTGAACAGGTAAGTCCAGTCCTGCCATTTCATAAGCTAGCCGGATAGCTGCAACTATCCAGGCCGCCACCTCTGGGTAGAAACAGGAAGGCCCACAGTATCCCTACGGTACTTAACAAAAAGTCGTAGTGACTTCCGTAATGGAGCTGTGCGGTGGACATAAAAAGCAAGAGCCCTCCGCACATCAAGAAGGTGCAAAGACTGCTCCAGGGGAGTAGAAGGATTTGGAAATAAGGTTGGAAGGACAATGTCCTGAGACATATGAAACTATGATGCTGCCTTAGGTAAGAAGGGAATGTCTGTGCCCAGCATGACCTTATCCTTATGAAATTTCACGTAAGGACTATCGACTCAAGAGCCATAAGCTCGCTAGCGAAGAGCAAAAGTAATAGGCACTAAAAATGCTGTTTTCCATGATAGATGGAACATGTCAGAAGTGGCCATTGGCTCAAATGGTGGTTTCATAAGGGCGGAAAGAACAACCTCCAACCTCCAAGAGGGGGGCACAGGCCTACTTGGGGCCAGAAATTTCTAAAGCCTTGCAGAAATCTCTTTACAAGAGGATCGGATAAAGGAGAGGGAAGAGAATGCTCGCTTCTAAACGAATCTATATTTGCCAGATTGACCTTCAAGAATGATAATGAGAGTCCTGAATCTGACAGAGAAATCAAAAAATCCAGGAGGAGGGAAGTGGAAGCAGACAGAGGCTGAACCCCTTGCTTTTGTGAAAAAATGCAAAAATGACACCACTTACAAATGTAAGAATGTTTAGTGGCAGGTCTCAGGGCAAGGTCCAAAATGCCCTTTACTGATTGAGAGAGGGCTGAGGCTGGATCTGCCACGCTGTCAACCGGAACTGAGTGACCTGGGAGTATAGGACTGGGCTGTTGCCCATAGTCAGCAAGTCTGGTCTGAGTGGCAACTGAATGTAACAGCTGCCTGCAAGTTGGAGCAGAGTGACAAACCATGGCTGGCGGGGCCACCATGGTGTGATGAGAATGCAATCTACCTGCTCTGCTTGAAGACGAGAGACCACTCTGGACAGCAGTGGCAGTAGTGGAAAGATGTACAGGAGGGCGGATGTCCAATCCAGGAGGAAGGCATCTCCCAACAGCCTGTCTGGTGGAGGTAAGACGTGCTCCAAAGAACTGGCACTTCATGTTGGCAGGAGAGGCAAACAAGTCCAGAAGGGGAGTTTGCCATCTGACAAAGAGTTCCCATGCCTGGGAAGGATGAAGGGACCAGTAGTGGTCAGTATAAACTGTCTGAGGGAGCCAGCAAGAGAGTCCTTGATGAATGGCACTGATGGTTATGGTATACCAGTCCCAGATTCTGATGATGAGGGCAAGCAAATCACAATCGTGCTTTCGCGGACAAAAGGAATTAAGGCTCCAAGCCCCGCTGCCTGGCTTTATTAGGAGTAGATGGGCGGGGCTGGAGTCCCTAATTAGGAAAAGCTTTCAAGAAAGATCCGAGTCAGCTGCGTGGACGCAGGGAAATACCACAGGTGTGGATTTCACAGTACCACGCAGAAGAAACAGTTGACATTCTGTTAGTGAGTTATGATAACTTAAGTCTAACTTATCATAGCTCACTTGTCTGATCATTGCAGAAGATGGAAAATGTTTAGCAATTACACAATGATCAATATCTCCACCCACAAACTACTTTAAATTGACAGAATACACACCCAAAGTGTAGCCATTTCTATATGAAGAGCATAAGATCACAGAGATATCCAACTGTTTTTCCTATATGGAAGTCATCTTCACAGACTTCCTAAGAATCACTAGATGTTTCTGCAGATGCCTATTATAGTGTATCCAGCCAAAGGAAACTAGCTACTTGTCCCTCCACTTATCCCCACACTCATGGAAATGGCTATGTTGGGGTTGGAGTTTGCATCACCCAAGAGTGGGGTTGAGGGTAGCAGTGGGAATGTACCTACAGAAAATTGGCTGTGTCCCACCCATATGTCTTCCAATGCAGGATTCAAGCCCTCTTTTAAAAGTTTCAGTTCAATACTGAACAACAAGTTTAAGAGTAGCAAAAAAGCTTCTTTTGGTGATGGGGATGCTTAGAACAAATATGGATAGAAAAAGAATTGGAATTGTACAGATGCTGTTAAACTGAAATTCCCATCATCCTTAAGCAGTATGAGAGATGCTGGAAGTTGCAGTCCAATCAAATCCAGAAGGCATAAGATTCTCACTCTTGGCATAGTAGGGCATCACAATGCCATTTCTGTAGAAACCTATGTATATAAACCAGCATTGCAAAAACATAACAAAATTGCTGCTTTATCATTTTAAATAGCCCCAAACGATTCAATAGGCCAACATACATCGTGCATTGTGGTATTCCATACAGTAGTAATGTCAGTGCTTTTTCCATATTCGTTTTTCAATAGCTGTGTCACAGTTCCTTGCAATATAGTCTCTGCCTGGAAGTAAGGAACACAGGAGGGAATTATGGAAAAGAACATATCAGAATTTCTCATTGTCAATTAAGAACATTTAAAATTATGTGTCTGTTTTCACAATTTCAAAAACTCTTATATTCTTCTAATATTTGCTCCACTCTTGAGATGCCCTTTCAGTTGAAATCAAGACCCTCAAGAGACCCGTATGAATCTATCAACTTCATAGCTCCATTTGCACAATAGCCTTGTCCATGAAAATATTAGATTCTCAAGGTCACCTGTGTGCTCTGTTTGTTAAATTCAGACCACTCCCACAGCATGGAGCAAGCACGGGAACAAACAGAGCTGCCTCTGTAATCTTTCCAGTGACATTCAGGAGCAAGGTTTGCCTACACACATGCACTTATTCAGACTACACTGCTCTCTCATGGGTAACTGCTCTTCCTGTGAGGAACTTACACAGACTGCAATGTGGCATTTTCCAGAAAAATCAAGAAGTGAAACAGGCCCACATTTTGCTGACAAAGGACACTGAAGCACACTCACAAAAAAGTGCCATATCTCATGAAATCGTTTTTGGAAGATAGGGTCTAACATGGGTCTAACATTTCTTAGGCTTTAGCAACTCCATTATTTCTTTTTTTCCCCCTTATTTTTTTAAAATATACATCATTTGTTTTACAGAAGAATATTATTAATATTAATATTATTTTACACATAATATTCAGTACAATCTATAACACATTAACACGTTGCATCTACTGTTATTTTCATGTTGATAAATATTTTCTTATCCTCACCACCATGTTCCCCTCCTCCCAAGCCACTTCTTTTATATATACCATCTGTCCAAAATTTCATTTCATCTTGTGGAAGTAATTTTCCACCTTTCTTTTTGAACCCTCTTTCAATAATTTTTCTCCATACATCATCAAAATCACCTTGTTTCCATATCCCTTTTATTTTTTAATTTGCATGTCGATTTATCATTTATTGCCAGTTTCCATACTTCCTCATACCACTCTATTTGTATACTTACTTCCCTTTTCCAATTCTTTGCTATAAGCAGTCTTGCAATTGTTAATAAATTTGTTATCACATCCTTGTCCTCTTTTATCAACTGATTATTATATATTCATAATAAAGCTATACTAGGACTTCTTTCTATTTTAATGTTCATTATATCTTCTATCTCTCTAAATATCTTTCCCCAGAAATCATTTACATATTTACACTGCCACCACATATGTATGTTCCCATTATTTCAATACATATCATAGATGTATTCTGGAATCCTATGCATCTTTACACTGAGTTCAAATAAAGTTACACACACACTTTGTCTCTAGCTACAATATTCACAGCCAGGTACATTTTTTGCATTGGAGCCAGGCTAGGAGAAAAATGCATGTTCGTGGTCCAATGTTATCACCAGACATGTATAAACATGCTGTACAGTCCTATCTCGCTGGGTAGTTATGCACCAGGAAGAAGAAAAAGCACATAGGTTAAGTAACAAGATGTAGCTCCTTAGCAAATGATTTAAACTTACTATTATTATTATTTCATTTGATCCTGCTTTTCGCCCTAACCTGAGGTGGGAAACATAAATAGGGCATATGGATAGAACTCAAAAACAGCCCAAAGAAGGTGCATGTGGTCTGTGAGCCACCATTTCTCCATTCCTATCCTCATGGACTAGTAAAAACACCTTTTATTTGGGATGCACTGATCTGCCCAAAAGAGCCAGTAATGACATTCAAAGCTCAAAACACATAAAGTGCTAAGGTTTCCACATCTCTTTCTTAAGTGATGAAAAACCAAGGTTGATGTTTTAGTCTTAGCTAAACAATCCTTTCAATGGGGATTATTGAAACATACATAACTGTGGTTATTTCATTTTTTAAAGACTTTCCTTATATCTTTGCTTGATGTGTATATATGATGAGGTGGGCACATGATTACCCACCCTGGGTAATTTAATAAAGGCAAAGAAAAATGAACTATACATATATTTTTAGAAAGCATCACTGCTCCTCCGTCACTAATTTCTAAAAAGATAAAGGACCTGAAGGAAACTTTTTACCTCTTTACTGAACTAAAAGTCCCCAACCCATTAAATCAATAACATTACAGAAAGTATTTACTTGGGCTAACAAAATTATTTGATGTTCCCAAATGTGACACACAAAGAACATGGCAGTGTAAATTAGTTTTGAATACAAACTTTTCCTGTTTGCAAATTACAGCTTTGAAACTAGACTCTTGGGGCTAAATCCAATTGTTAGTTTTATCTTGAGTAGACTAGAACCTTATGTAAGTGCTGAATTAACTAGTCCTTTTCATTCAGTGGGTGTATTCTAAAGATGGAAGAGTGAGAGCTATAAATGAAAGGTGGCATTAATTACAATTACATACATTTCACAAGGGGGATGAGGTAATTATATCATACAAGTCTTCAGTAGAAGCATGCTACATCACACATATCTAAACAATTGATTGTACTTCATGTTACTTACAAGTGATGTGTAGACCAAAGCCACCACTGCAGCAGCAACTTCAACAATGAAGATTATCAGGATAATTGAGAAGAACTAAGGAAAAGGAGAGAGAGCATTGATACAAATCTAAGACAAGAATTGTTCAGATACAGTTGGTCATATATATCAAATGGAGAATAAAGGATTGTAAGTCTGCATCAAGTTGTTGCAATTATGCCAAAGGGAAACCAGAGAGATTCTCCATAAATGTGCTACTAAGTCAGTGGTTCTCAACCTGTGGGTCTCCAGATGTTTTGGCCTTCAACTCCCAAAAGATCTAACAGCTGATAAACTGGCTGGGATTTCTGGGAGTTGTAGACCAAAACACCTGGGGACCCACAGGTTGAGAACCACTGCACTAAGGATTTATGTATTTATTTATTATTTTATTTCTTTCAGATATTTGTATCCTGCCCTTCTCAACACCTCCCCCCCCCCGGGGGGGGGAGGGACTCAGGGCGGCTTTCCTGCCTAGACTTTTTCTACAGGAAAAATAACATCCCCTATTCTTCTTCCACAGCATCTGTTTTGCTTGGATTTTTGCTATTTCAGTGCACTGAAAAATATTTACATCTCTGTCCAGTTGCTTTCTTGTACACTGAACCGATCTATTCAAGGCCATTTGGGAGTAATTTACATAAGTATAACTTCCTCATTCCTCAGTGGAATAACACAAGAGGCAGGGAGACATTAGGTATTGCCACAATGCTATTGAAAACAGGCGATCCCCTGGTCACACGGGCTTCTTAAGAATTGGGAAAACAAGTCATAGGTTTCCAAGTCAATGCTGCACCAACAGTTTCACAGTCTACCACAAAATGGCCAAATATAGCCAACAAGCTTGTATCTGTCCTTGTGTGGAGGTTATCCAAATGAGAAACAGGATTAGCATCTTCCAAAGCTAGTTAAAGGCCTTAGTGTTTGTCTTGAGCAGCAATATGGCACTATTATAGGATCTGAAAAATGCATAGTGGTTTGAGTATTGGGACTAGGACTGGGAGACTCAGTTTCCAATCCCAAGTTAGCCATGAAGCTCAATAGGTCACAATCTCTCAGCCTATCTCAAAGGAGGACAAAAAGCTTGAGGAGACAATCCATCTACATTGGATTGAGTTTTTCAAAGGAGATGTAGTATATAAATATACTAACATACACTCATATACAGTGAGTAATTTGATTCAGTTGTCCTTTCCCTATCATTCTTCTCCACCGTGCTACACTAGGAAGACAACTGCACATGTTTACATCAAACAAAGAGGTGCAAACAGCTTTGCATTTGGATTACCGTAATCAGAAGGCACTTGCTCTCTTTCTGAGCTCCACAGCATCCCAAGAAGCCCAACAGAAACAGGACAGCTCCAATGGCTATGAGTAGGTAGCCCACATTCACAAACTGAAGGACACTGGAGGATAGAGGGCCAAACATTTTGAGGAAGGAAGTACTGTCAACACTGACCCAGATTCCAATGCCCAATAGTACCCCTCCACCAATCTGTGGGGGAAAAAGAGGGAGGGAAAAAGATATTATTTCCAAATAATGGTATTAGAAACAAACATAATTAGAGGCAGTTCCCAAGTTATGAACAAGATACATTCTTTAGGTTTGTTCTAAAGTTGAATATGTATGTAAGTGGGAATGGATACATTTTTAAGTTTAACTCCAACCAATCTCTCTCTCCCGCTCTCTCTCTCTCTCTCTCTCTCTCTTTATATATATATATATATATATATATATACACACGCTTTGGATAACATAGCAACTTCTTGAGAGATGCAGCAGAAACTGTAAAGAGAGTTTATTAAAGTCAGCTGTGTAGACCAAGAGGGAGATCATTCAGGTCTTTAAAGAATAATGGCATCAACATTTGTACAAATTACTATTGTTTATTTATTTCAGACATTTATATCCTGTCCTTCTCACCCCCGGAGAGGGGTCTTAAGGCAGCGTACAACTGGCAGCCATTAGATGACAACAACAAAAACATAAACATTAATTAAAACATAAGTCATAATTCAAAATCCATCCATTGTCAACTACATGATTCCTTTGTTACTGCTGTGACTGCTATTTTATATCAATTTACTAACAGGTATATACAGGATTTTAAAAATCATAATAGAAGCACAAAGAATCCTGAATCTGACTGATTGTGATTTTTCAGATTGTTCACATGGGGGTATCTATTATGTTTTCCTCCAAAGTTTCAGGAGATGAATCTTAATTGGGAAAATCAATACAGGCAAACCTGACTTCAGTTGTTTTAAATCTTATGCTCTAAAACAGGCATGAGCAAACTTCGGTCCTCCAGGTGTTTTGGACTTCAACCCCCACAATTCGGCTGTTAGGAATTATGGGAGTTGAAGTCCAAAACACCTGGAGGGCTGAAATGTACCCATGCCTGCTCTAAAACAACTGAGAAGGCCTGTTATAGGTTGAGCATCCCATACCCAGAAATCTGAAATTGTCCATAAGATTATAGCGACACCTTTGCCTTCTGTTGGCTCAATGTATACAAACTTTATGTCATGCACCAAAATATTTTAAAATAGTGTATAAAATTATATCCAGGCTATGTGTATATATTTTAAGTATGGGAACTTTAAGACATGTTTTACTGCATCTAAAATATAGTGTCTTCCATTATATCAGGACAAACAGCTATTCCATGATTTAGTTTGTGCTGTAAAGACATTATCCAGGAGCTGAACCCTGCTATTCAAAATAGGTTCAGCATCTTGAATAGATTGTCACATTTGACCTTGATCCCAAAATGAATTCCCTGCCCTACTTTGTAAGGGTAGAAAAGTACATAGAAGCCCAGTACTGTTTGGTTTCTAGAGTTCAAAGCAGATAAAACAGAAGTGTGCTGAAAGATACAAATGTTCATCCTTGCCTGATGCTTATTTGCATTTTATAAAGGAGTGCACACATCGGTGCTCTGGAGGAGTTCTACAGAAATTCACAACTACAGCATGATTTCCATGTTTCATGCAAATGTGGGACTGATGCATTTTTTAAAAAAGTATGAGTTGCAAGAGAGAAAAACACAGAAGCATATTTAAGTGTACTCAATGGACTGGGATAGGAAATGTAAGCATTTATGTGTTTCAGAACTGAATAGCACACCTGAACTCCTTCAAACTGTATCTGTAAAGACTAGGTACTATTCATTTTCCACAAAATAAATAAATGATGTTGAAATCCTACTTTCAACCTCTTATTCTCAGTCCTATCGTAATTTTACTGTACATACTAAAATCTTAGCCAGGTCATGTCTCAATTACCTCACTCCATTTGACTTTACCCATATTATCTAGAGGTAAAACTATCTTTTTTTTTTCTTTACGGTGACCAGCAAACTCATTTTCTTCATACATGTATTTTGGTAGTAATTCACAGACAGCTAGATTGATGACTCAATTTCATGTAATATCTTGATTCCCTAGGTTAGGGCCTCTTCCTATTTGTGATTTGATTTAAAAAAAGATCAGCATCCACTCATACCTTGAACTGGCTTTTGTAATGGAAGCTGGTATCATCCCTAGCTAAATTTCAGTATTAAGTATCATTGCTAAGAAATCCCAGTTTGGTCATATTAGACTTTTTTACCTCTAAGGAAGAAAATGTGGTTCCTCCCAATGGTGGATGGTAGCTTCCAAGTCAATAGGGCAATAAACACATTTTGAGTTTTAATCTGAATTGAAGGAGCTCTTCAAGATTCTGGATTGCGCCTCCAAAAATGGAAGCTTCTATACTTTTTGGATTAAAACCCAAAGTGGATTTATTGTCTCACTGACAAGAACTGCCCATTATCTGAACCAACATTACTCATGGGCCGGGGTGATCAGAATACAAGATGTTTATGTTGGCAAACTGCCTTTGACGTAAACAGTCCTATTACTGAACAATGGTAGCCATGTTGAGAATTATATGTAGCTAGCTAGATTCAAAGATTATCATTTTGGAATAGTTTGTTTTAAGAAGTGAGAACACTAATTGCTCAGCACAGCCCTCTGTCCAAATATCACAGAAACTAGAGACAAACCACAGAAGCAGATCACTTCCTCCATGTTTAGCGAGAGAGTATGGAGAGAAAATGTTCAACTTGACAGCACCAAGAAAAAGATATGGAAGTAAGAGGGTCAGATCCTAAATCTTCCATTGATTCCTCTTATGAGTAATCCTATATCCATTCACTTTTTGAGGTAAGCATCACTAAACTGTTTTTAATGTAAACAGAAACAACCTTGCATTCTTGGTTGTAGAGACACATGTTATTCCACATTTCAAAGCAGATTGTTAAAGACAAAAGGCAAAAGTGTGTATTTTAAGAGCTCTATGGATGATGGGATTTCAGCAAAGCATGTAGCTCTTCAGATAGGTGAAAAATTACCTATCTGCAGAGCTACATGATTTGCCAAGACTTTCTGGTTAACACTATCATTAGATGCACAGAGAGACCTTGTCTTCCTCTGTCTTAGGCCAACATGATGCTTCCAAAAAATTGCAATAAAGAAACGCGAGTATTAATTGGTGGCCTCCCTTATCAACAGAATACTGAAAATGCTCTGGCTGAACTTTGGAGAAGTTATCCAGGATATGGAAATCCTTTCCACAAAATAGGTTCAGAACCTCTGAAACTTCTATTAAAATTCAGACTGAAATCTAGAACAGATTCAACATTTCACTAGAACAGTGGTTCTCAACCTGTGGGTTCCCAGATGTCTTGGCCTTCATCTCCTAAAAATCCTAACAGTTTGTATACTGGCTGGGATTTCTGGGAGTTGTAGGCCAAAACATCTGGGGACCCACAAGCTGAGGACCACTGCACTAGAATGAAACCACCAAACATTGTCATGACAGCTGAAAGATTCCCAATAGGATACAAGGTATTGAAATGGTCCAATTCTCATTTCACTTAAAAGTTTTATTAGAAGCTGCCTGGAGTTTCAGTCCAGTCATGTGATTATTTTTTAAAAAAGTGAACAACGGCACTGGGGACATTAGAAAGACGGTCGAAGCAATTATCCTTGACCACAGGTGCCAGCTTTGTTTGCCCTCAAACAAAAGAACAAGGCAGGCATCGCCCATATAAAAATACAGGTGCCAAGCCGGAAAAAGACGCACCATGAAAGAGGCAGTCTCCCATATCATGAGCCATTTTCTCACCTTCTTTCTTTTTCCATTCAACTACAAGGAATCACCACATTTATTTTAAAGACAGCCTCCACATACTTTTTAAGAGGCTGTTCTTTCTGATTCTTAAAAGTGTTAGCTGCCTCCATTTGAAAACAACATAGAAATTCAGCATAGCTACAATTTTGGGTAAAAAGGCTCCTGCCCCAACCAATAAAATAAACTAATAACAAGGTCATGACACACATAATTTTTCTAACTCAATGTTTATTTTTAATAGATAGATGTATTTTCTCCCCATAAGTTTGTAAACACTTGTAAACAGAAGAGTATCCTGCTAATCATGTTCTTATTGTTATAACTATATTGAAAAGGTGGAACTATGGTTGAGAATTGAGAGGTGACAATCCTGTTGGGTATCTCGGTGTTGGTAGAACCATATTGTGTGTGACAAGATGGATATTGCAATAACTCTGCTGTGTTGTCCAGTTTACAGTATCGTCTGTCTGTATGTTTGGTTGTCAAAGAAATGCAAAGGAGATTGCTCTATAATTGACAACAACATATATAAAATTAAATGAAGGACTAAAGAAAGTAAACAGATTTAGGAAATAACCAAGAGTTTCAGCTCCTTGTGGAAACACATTGTCCAATGCCATATTTACTTCTTGAGAAACAATGTCATGGAGTGAATCTCCAAGCCATAATAATGTGTTGCTGAAGTCTGTGCTATGCAAATAAATTACAATCACATGCTACTCTTCAAGTCAAGATTTTCCTTTAAAAAGCCTAATAATCATGTATTTAATTACATATTTTTCATTCCATCCCCCCAAAAAGAAAACACAAAGCCCTGTTGTAGAGTTCAACCCTTGGATCCTTGACAAATGGGAAAGAGCCAGAGATTTGGGTTGTTGTAGGTTTTATGAACTGTATGGCCATGTTCTAGAAGCATTCTCTCCTGATGTTTCACCTGCATCTATGACAGGCAACCTCAGAGGTTGTGAGGTCTGGCATAGATGCAGGCAAAATGACCTCTGAGGATACCTGCCATAGCTACAGGTGAAATGTCAGGAGAGAACGCTTCTAGAACATGGCCATACAGCCCGAAAAACTACAACAACCTAGTGATTCCAGCCATGAAAGCCTTCGGCAATACATCCAGAGATTTACTGATCTGTACCGGGGCAGGAGCTGTGCCAGGCTACTGCCCAGGTACAGTTCCTAATAGCCCTAGGCAGCATAGCCAGTGGTGACAAATGCTGGGAACTATACTCCAACAACATCTGGAAAACAACATAACAATGTAGGATCAGGAGAGCAATCCCAGTTCAAATATATACCTATCAAACTAATTAAAGATAGTTGGAATGCACTTCAAGTGTTCACTTTGTGTGCACCTGCACATGTAAGGAATGTGAAACATCTTTCATCCCACCTTCAGTACAAAAACATTCAAAACCTAAATAATTTATAACCCTGAGATCTTATGATTAAGGACAAGACTTAAATCTATAGGTTGAGCATCCCTTATCCAGAATTCTGAAATACATTAAATTGCAAAATGCCTACATGGAAGGCTGAGATAGTGACATCTGTGCTTTGGTTTCATAAATCATATTATTTTCAAAATATCATATAAAATTACCTATGTTTATAACGTTTATATGAAACATCAATGAATGTAATGTTTAGACTTGGGATCCATCTCCAGAATATTCATTATGCTCTGAAATCCAAAGTTCTTCAGTCCCAAGCATTTGAAATATGGGATGCTTAAGCTGTATAAAATACAGTTGTGCTTATAGAAAGGTCTGGTCATATGAATGAAAAGCCACCTGGGAGTAGGATTCCCTATCATATGAATACAGCCCTTCAGAGCCCTCCCCCCTTCCCCCCAATTACATTGCAAACACAATTAATTAACCCACCTTGGGTAAACAGTCTTCCTTTGGTGATCATGTTAATTTTTAACAGCCAGAACTCATTAAAACAGAACTCTGAGATCTCCAAGCTTAAGGGCATTGACTAGGAAACACAGTTAAATATGTTGCAGTCCTCAACTTTTGACTCAACTATATTCATATTTATGTACATGGAGGTTTCAGATCCTATCATCATTCTTCCTGGCTTGGCATCCTTTAGGTGTTTGGACTACAATGGCTGCTAACTAGCAGCCACATAGCCAATGGTCAAGGATTATAGCAGTTGTAACCTATAACAAGAGTTACAACTGGGGAGTAATGCTGCTGATTACCAACCGCTTCTTTGGCACTGATCTTATAGTCATTAACAACTCAATTGCTTTTCCAGTTCAACTAATCTAAATTTATGGCACATTTTTAGAGCTATATGTAATCTGTTCAGTTTTCCTTCTATAAGACATATCTGTGCCAAAGAAATAAACTCAAACTAGACTTCCTTGAGAGAACTATCATGGAGCCGTAAGTACAGCATTTTAATGTGCTGCTTGTGAAACCATATTGGCAGGCCAAGCATGAAACCAAATACAACACCCACAGAAACCATAAAACCCACTCTGCCTGTCTTGAAAGAGAGGAGGAAGAGGAACACATATACTTTCCAGTGAGGCTTGCATCATGATTGTATTTATGTTACCCACTGCTATTTTGTGGCTTTGGCCAGCATTTGCATGAAGGCACACTTGCCATCATGGTTAATAAACCCAGCAGAACCTTGTGACACTCCCATTCATCCCATGGGTGTGGCAGCTCCAGTGAGGAATCAGCAGCACAGAGGACATTCTCTAGAAGTCAACCCTAGTATTAACAGACTGCTCCATGTTATTAAGTATACAGGTAATCCATGGGAAGGCAAAGCTGTAATATGTGTAGGTGGGCAGACTTCAGTTTCACTGAACATGATGCACAAGAAGCTACAGCATACTTCTCCCAGTTGATGCTTTGAAAAGCATTGTTGTTGGTATTAGGATCACCATTGTTTATATAATATTTATTTTTTCTCTAAAAACTTCAAAGTGGTGAACGGTAGTAAAAAAAATATATACAATTTCAAAACTAAAACATTACACTAGAATGAATTCTAATACTATTTTTAAAATATTTATTTATTTAGTATAAAAAGCATTGCATAAATTAGTATAAAACTGATAAAAATAGAAGGAGCACAAGTGGCTAAATATCTTTTGACCAAAAATGGGCAACAGCAATTAATTAAAACCAATAAAAACATCAAAACTAATTTAAAATACATAGTAGGCCCACATACTACACAAACTAATACAGTAGTCCTGCATATTACACAAGGGATCCATTCCAAAACCCACTGTATAATATGCTTTTTTGTTCTTTATGTTGATCTCTATTTTTCTACCGGAAATAAATGGTGGGTTGGGCTTCTGGCTGAAACATACCATAGAATCATACAGGAGGACCTAGAGATGCCAAGAGAACTGTTCGCTTAGGCTTCTGGAGTGATTCCATGGTCAACATCCAGAAAAACTTTCATGGGAAATTGACCATAAATCATGCCGGAGGCCTAGAGAAAATGCTTTTCTAGGCGTCACTCGGTATACTCGCTCGATTCTATAGCACTCAGAGCTCATTGTGTATAATGTATTCTAGGATAGTCAAAGCTCTTAGCATATAACAACAACCATGTTCAAAGACCTTGGGTAATAAACTGGATTTCCATGCACTAGTGGCAACTGCTTTGTGTCCCCTTCAGGGGAGATAAAGTGGGATATAAGTAAATATAATTATAACAGCAGCAGCAGCAGCAGCAGCAGCAGCAACAACAACAGCAACAGCAACAACAACAACAACAACAACAACAACAACAACAACAACAACGTAGAATCACGAGGGATCTGCAGGTTATCTAATACAACATCTGGCCTATGGTTTTGTTAAGCAAATTTGACTATACAAAACTGTGTTGAAAGTGTTAAAAGCTTTTCCATGCTTGCTTCCCCGCAACCTTACAAACTACTATTTGCCCTGAAACAGAAAACAAGAACCTGTGATCTCTCTGATGATCTTCCACCAACTAGTTTTATCCAACTAAATTATGTACATGCTATTTCTGGTAAGCAAAGTTATTTTCTTAGGGAGTGTTTAGTTAAATGCTCTATAGGGGTTTACAAAAAAATGGTAAAGACAGACAGATCTTACTGTAAACACAGCACATTGACATAATATGTCCCAATTTAACAGGTTATAAAAAAAGATATAACTATTCCAGTAAGATCCATCCTTGAATTTGGACAATCCAAGATTATATTTAGGATTGCAGCCTAAACTAGAAAGTTTCATAAAGTATGCAAACACAGAGTCTTTACTAAAGCTACATTACCTCTAAAGATTGGAATGTGCTCTGGATAGTATGCTAAACCAGTAATACTTTTACAAGGGCATTCGCTGACTCCATGGTCAATACTAAAGAAATATAGTACTTACCACTATAGCTAGATTAAATAAAATCATCATGACCTTCAAGAAAGTGAAACAACTCATCTTGGTATCTGTAAAGAATTTAAGAAGAATGTTAAATTGCTACTCAAGATACTTCACATAGCTGAGCCCAGTTCACATTGTAGACTTTATGGGTGAAGCCTCCACAATTTTATCAGAAACAATCATTGTGAAACTCCATATAGTTTGCTTCTTAGTATGTATGCTTTGTACTACAAGCAGTTTGTTGGGCCATATGATCATTGATGCCATAAGAGCAGAAGCAAAATACAAACTTAAGGAAGTGAGGGATGGTATACGTTGTGTAGCAGCCCCCAAATCCTCTAAACTACTGGTTCTCAGCCTGTGGGTCCCAGGTGTTTTGGCCTTCAACTCCCAGAAATCGTAGCCAGTTTACCAACTGTTAGGATTTCTGGGAATGAAGGCCAAAACATCTAGGAACCCACAGGTTGAGAACCACGCTCTAAACCAGAGATTCTCAAATGGTGCTCCTCCAGATGTTTTGGACTTCAGCTCCCACAATTCCTAACAGCTTATATGATGGCTGGGATTTCTGGGAAATGAAGTTCAAAATACCTGGAGGAGCACAGTTTGAGAAAAACTGCTCTAAACAAACTGAAATGCTATTCCATTTGCAACCAAGTATTCCTTGTAAACAAACAAATCAGTGATGCCCCCCCCCCTTTCTTATACAGCAATATAAACTTGATTTCAAACACTTCCATTTGTCTCCATCATCCCATTAGGACTTAAATCATTATCCCTAATAGTTATAAAACCTGGAAATAGTCAATGCCATTGATTCAGAGGAACAGTGGAAACTCTATTGGAAGGAGAAACATGTGCTGGTGAGAGGGGTCTGAAACAGACTTGCAACCAGAAAAGTTTGCTCCCCACACACATCTCTTTGAGAGAAGTATCCAAAACACATAGCCTAACCATTGTGATTACATTAGATTCAGTGAATCAGCACCTGTGTAGATTGGTAGATGCCAGATAAATGCCATTTCTGATTGCTTTGAGAGTTACTATTAAAAATATGCCTAATACTATAATCTATACTAAGCTATACCATACCATAAACTATTTTTGACTTGATATTAATATTTGAATATAATTATAAAAAAGATAATAGAAACAAACTTAATGTAACACAGTTGTATTGTTATAAAAACAGCTTTGTCAATGCAGTATTATTTCTTGGAATGTTTTGCCAGTTGCTTGAAAGTTCTGGTCTCTTGAGTTCCAGTTAACCAAGAATCTAAGACCATTAGCATTGAAGTCTGGTTTTTATTACTGTGTGCTTTACCTGGTGCATGACTGGTGTTTGAAAAAAATCTCATCCAGTTCTGGCAAAATAATTTCCAAGGAAAGGGCTGATCTCTCTATTATAGATCACTCTCCAGATTTGAATGAAAATCTCATGGAGGAATTAATTAAAAACAAATTACCCTTAACAAACTTTTATGTAAAGTAAATAGAAAAACTTGTGTCTTGTCCAGTAACAAACTTAAGTCAAAAGCCTGGTTTCAGCACATCAAATGAAGTAGGTTATAATCCCTGAAAGTTCGTACTATAATAAATTTATCTATCTTGTAAATAATATAGAACTTTTAAAAGAACTTAACAAATATCAAAACTTTCCTTTGACAGAGATAGGATCTTTACAAGCAACCACCACAAACACAAAAGGCTCACCTGTAAGGGCAACAACCTACACCAGAAACAAGGTGAATGGTAATCCTTATGACTTTGCAGTGAGCAAGAAGTCTGCCTTTTAAATTGCCCAGTCAGCCTATAAGAAACATCCCATCGTCAAGCCAATCAAATGTCTTTAAGGGCAAGGGCTGTGTTTTCAAAAAGGCAAAAATTACAGGAGTCTTACTATAGAGCACCGTTCTTTATTCTGTACTGCTCTCTAGTGGCTATGTGTGAATATTCTGTCATGACTTTCCTCTTTTTTCATAAGCACACAGAAGATCCACAGTAGACACTGTGGTTTGGTCCCAGGACACTGTGGATACCAAAACTGATAGATGATCAAGTCCTTTTACATACAGTTATGTAGTGAAACTGTGTTTGCTTTTTGAATTTTTAAAAATAAAATTCAAACTATGGTTAGTTACAAAATTATAGAATCGCAGACTTGGAAGAGACCACAAGGGCCATCCAGTCCAAACCATGCGGAAAGTTGATTGCGTAGATACATAATCCATGGACATGACTGGTGTTTACTCATATGTGAACACCAAGAGTTGAGGAAAACAAGTCTCCAGAACACTTAGGAGATAATCATACAAGTCTGTAAGCTACATTGGAGTCTCCCTAGATACAAATGGAAACATTCAGAACTGCACAACCTCATCCTAAAGTCACCCCAAAACAATCTTCGAGTCATGTGAAACTTGAATTAAATGAAAATGGTTTTCTCTCATCTTTTAATAAGACTTTATTTATATTCCACCCTGTCTCATCAGGGGGACTCAACAAAGATTCCAACAAACAAAAAGGCAAACATTCAATACCTCAATACAACAACAAATACAAACATAATAACGCAAAATAACCCAACATATAAAAACACATAACATGACACCAAAAGTTATATAAAATGTAACCTATCAGATAAATTATACTTAACCTAAAACAAGAACATCAAACATCCACATCAATTTACAAAAGCAGACAATGGTTCACTAAAATAGTTAAATTGGTTATATGGCCAGTGATGTTAGCTGGGCTGGCAGGGTCTACAAGCCCAAGTGCAATAACAACTCTCACTCAGAGGTATAGTAGTGGTATATCCTCCTCTCCATGTGCTGATGAGCAAAGGTAAGTTTTCAGTTGTTTGTTGAAAGACAGAAGGGAAGGGGCTATCTTTATTTCTTTGGGGAGGGAGTTCAAGAGTTAGGTGCAATCACGAAGAAGACTCTCTCTCTCATTCCCTCCAGTTGTGCTTGGGATGGGGGTGGGACCGAGAGTAGGGCCTCCTCCGCTAACCGCATTGTCCAAGTTGGTTTATAAGAGGAGATGCGATTAGCCAAATAGCTTCTGAATGTGCTTTCAAAGAGTTTTAGAAAATGGGTTCTATAATGCAGTAAAGGCAATGTGCTTTAGCTATCAGTTTTGAGAGCTATGAAATCCATTGTTGGCTGTCATTCTTTGTTGCAAAGCAAAAACATAATCTTTTCTCCCCTAGTGATTTCTTTTAAAAAAATAAATAAAAGAATTACAATGGTCCTTGTCTCACCAAACCTCTAATATAAATCTGTGGTATTAATTGAACATTTCTTTTTCTGGCAAGGTAACATTTTACAAAACTTCCCACTCATGCATACTTTTACCTCATTATAGAAGCTTAAAAAGTTCAAAGTACACCTCTCATTTGCTGAATAAAATCAATACAAAAAGTATTAAAACTGAAAAAAAAATGTTTTTTTTTAAAAATTACTTGAAGTTGTGTATGACTTGTGCTTCAATACTGTGAAAACATGAAAGCTCAAAGGTGCATAGCTTTGAATCTCTGACCTCTCAAAGTTATGCAGTTCTTACATTTAAAAAAACAAAGCAAAACAAAAAAAGCAGAGAAGTATGAAGATGGGGACAGCACAAATTAGGAGGAGTCACTTCCCTGTAGCAGCAGTAATGCCAATGCACTTTGAGCTTTTTCAAGCACATTCAAAAATGCTTTGGGCAATAAGAAAAGGGGCTAGGCAGGTGCACCCATCTCAGGCAAGATAGGTTTACCATGGCAGAAGCCATTTTAGGAGAGGTGTGTGATAATGTCCTTGGACATGTGCATATAGCAGCAGAAAACTGCAAAGATGAAACTATTGAATTATTTCCCCCAAATGCCAAAGATTCTTTTTTTCTCTTTGCATCTTTCATTCAAACTAACTAATGGAAGAAAACAGATTTTATGGTCACTCCAAAGTGAATCAAAGCACCTGGCACTGTAAAGTGTTCTTTCTTCCTTTCACTTTCCCAGCTTTGCCATGGATGTTTTTCATCGTCAAAGTGTGGCTCTGCAGCTTTCTTCGAACCTACAAAAAACCCCATCTCTGTGGAAAAGAAGACAGTTGGTCATTCTTGATTCTCTGCAGAGATATTAGGCTGCAGTGTCATAAGCTTCAACCAGAATGGCCATGTATTATAGGAATTCTAAATAGCCTGGTTATATATCCCTTTCTTTAAAGTAAATAAGAATGGTTTTTTTTAATGTCAGGAGAATAACAGAAGGACGGATGGAAAAGAAGACTAACAGGCTATTTGCAGAGCTCATGGCCATAAACAGGGCTCCTGGTAAACAGACCTACAACACTTGCCTCTTAGGGCCCTTCCAGACAGGCCCTATATCCCAGGATCTGATCCTAGGTTTTCTGTTTATCCCAGATTATGTGGCAGTGCGGAGTCATATAATGCAGTTTAAAGCAGAAGACCTGGGATCAGATCCTGGGATATAGGGCCTGTCTGGAAGGACCCTCAGCAATCATTGGATCAGATTTTTCCAACCACCCACTGAAATCAACAGTACAGCTACTTTGTGCCAGTTCTTTAAGCACAAATTATTCAAAAACATAAGAGCCTGGAACAGATTAAAGGAATAGATCAGTCATGATAGCTGTGTTTAAAACATGCAAACCTTACCATCCAGAGAACCTCTCAGGTAGAAAAGGCACACACAGCATTTTTGTCAGTCTTTCTCTCAGGCCCTATCTACACTGTCATATAATTCAGTTTGAAACTATTTTATATGGTCAGTGTAGATGACTGCATTATATGAGCCTACATTGGCCATATAATTCAGTTTCAAACCCAACATCATGTAACTGCAGGTTTTCCTTGGTTAAGCCACTTGTTCTCTTCTCATCTTGATCCAGATGTTCATACTTATCTGTTCCCTCCTGATGTGTGTGTTTTGCTCTCAATGACTCTCTCTCTCTGAATTTAAATGTATCCCATGTTTCTGCCAGATTATACTTTTGCCAAGTTCATGATTTCCTGTCTCAGCCCCAAGAGACTTCATCTGTGTAGGGAAATCACACACACACAAATCTCAGAGCGTTAACTCCTTCTCTGGAAAATCTCAAACTTCAAAGCTATCACTTTGTGTTGTATGTGTCCATTTACATCTTTATATTCTCAAAACTTTCCTAAACTATAGCCACGGATATCTGCCCAAACTTCTTCTCTGTTTGTTCAGATTTCCAAATACCATAAAGTGGAGGTATACAAACCCTTCAATTTCCATAGACATCCTGGTATCCATGCACCCATGTAACAAAACAAAAATTAAAATACTTTTCTGGTTTGAAAGTGTTGTCATACTAATACTTTTTAATTGTGCGGTAGTTACTTTGAAAGTTGTCATACTCCAGAAACTTGTTTTTTGTGGCTGCCACAAACTATGTTGAGTTGGTTGAGGCTCTATGAAATATTCATTGGAAAACTAGCAAAATGTGCTGCAGGATGTCCCACAAAAACAGTTTTTGCAGTTTAATAAACATTTAATGATAGAACCAATTAGGAAATGACATTTATAACCCAGGAACAAAAAATGTGATACATAGTGTTATTTGAGACATTATTCTTGTGTTTCAACAAGCATTCCATTGGCTGCACTTATTTTGGGAAAAGGCACTTGTGATGAGGTAGCTCTAGTAAGCTACATTTTCAATGACAACAAGTAGCCAACTTGGATTGGGTTTGGCCCAGACAGAGTTAAAATTCATGATATGCAAGGTTAACAACCAGGAAACAACTAATAATACATTTATGTAACACCTAAATACCAAATGAAAATATTGATTTGACCTATGTATTTCTCCATAAAGTTAACAGAAGATCGTCTCCACAATAAAATCTTCTCCACAGTAATTGCAACTATACTTTTTCATATATTCAAGCCCTCAATATTTCTCTAATACAATATTGTTTTTCTATAAGATACAATTATTTATAACTCTTCTTTTAATCAAAAATAAATATTTTATATGTCCTTTTTATTTTAAAAAATGGTATAAGTTTTTATAGTGAGGCTACTGCTTTACTCTTTATGAAAGAGTAAAACATTAGACAGGATGCCTACACAGTCAACTTTCTTGCTATTCAATTACAGATTTTAAAGCTATTAAGATTAGGAACATGATAGGTTAACTTCCAAACGGTCTCAAGCAGCTACTGTAGCTACATGGGAATCCCGCTACTCACCCACCCAGCTGAGCCAGCTCATCTCTTCCAGTGGTAGAAGATACCTCTTTTGTTGCCAGTGGGTAGATTACTTTTGCCTATGCTACGTCCCTTTAAACCACTGCTGGACTTCTACCTTTGCTTTTGCTTTCTGTTTAGTTATATGCTTGTTTAATATCCTTGAAAAATAGTAGATGCATTTCTGAGAAATCTTTTCTTGATGATAGCACCCTTCAATAAAGACGGCAGAAACTTTTACCAACCTCCCCACCACTGCCACAATTTCTCATCAAATGATCCAGATTTAATATTTCTGGATCAAAGGTTGTGAATTTCCTACTGATGTGGGCAGTTGTATGTGAAATACCAAGCATGAAAGCCAATTCTGCAGCTGTTTTTCTAATACCTTTGGATGGAAAAGAAGTAATTCTTAAGCATCACAAGTGGACTATCATATTATCCCTGGCAACCTTGATACATTATTATTGCTACAACACCATTTTTGAGGGAGTAATGAAGGCAGGGGATTCTCCCTCTCTTTTGGGGAATTTTAGAAGCTTAGAAGAGTGACTTATAAAAATATAATTAATTAGATAACTAAACTTTT